AAGCCCTCCGCAATATCTTTGGTATTTGTCAAACTATTTTCACCTAATTTTAACTCATTTACTACTGTTGGTTTGCTTTGCCTACCTAGTATATCGTTTATAGTTTTCCAAGCCTCTTTAGGATTGCATTTTTGATCAGAAATTTTAGTGGAGTAATTTTTTTTAGCATTTCTTAGCTGAATATTAACTTTGTTTCTCGTTGTTTTGTAATTTAACCAGTCTATCTCTAGGTTTGTAATAATGGCCTTTCTTTTTAATCTGTCCCTTGTGATTATAAGTTGCTTTATAGCACTTGTAATCCAAGGAACTTTTTTGTTCTAATCTTTTAATGTTGAAGTGGTGCATGGTTATCCAAGGCCTCTACGAATAATTTCTTCCAAATTTCCCACATATGCTACCTCTATATTCTAAGAAGTCAACTTCAAATTCAAAATCCTTTTTAAAACCTTTGAAATTTAGTTGAAATAAGAAGTCTAGAGTTAATAAAAATCATAATGAGCTACTGTAGTTATCTAAACCTAGAGTATCTGCCATCTGGATGCACTGGCATAGACTTCAAAGATTGGCTACCTCCACAAATTAAAAATAAAATGTGCAGGCACAGCCTCCCAAGTCATTTTCATTTCCTAAATGATGTATGTAACTGCACTAACATAATATATATATATATATATACATATATATATATATATATATATATATATATATATATATATATATATATATATATATATATATATATATATATATATATATATATATACAGTATATATATAAATAATATATATAATTATACACTATTAATGGACTTAAAAGTGTTTACTTCACCTAATTTTCAAACAACGAATTATTGACCCACAATTATTCCACAATGCTCTGTACATTCCAGAAGTCCTCATTACTAAAAATTGTGTGACGTAAACACTTCTCAGGTCTATGTATTAACAGTAAATAATAAATATATCTGTACCACTGACTGCATCTTTAATCTTGCTATCCTTCCACTGGTAAACATATGGAGAGCATTGGTAAAAACATTCCTAGGAAAGACAAAAATTCACTATATATGATCATAATTGAAATTTACAATTTTAAAATAAAATTTCTTTACGTATCAAAATGCTTTATATTACTGAAGTCATTATGTCATATATAATTCTGAAATGATAAATAATTGGGCCAAAAATGTCTTCTGCACAGTTCTTTTCAATCCCATGATCGAGTTGCATGAGTACCCAGAAGTCATTGAATATCAAACAATGGTAAATTCCAAGGGCAAATTTCATCTGCTTCTCCCAACACATAGCCGGTGGGGAGGGGGGGGGGGGGGGGGGTATCTGCCTCCAACTTTTCATCTTGTTTCTTTTTAAGTTGAATATCACTTTGCACTATCTAGCTTGTAACTACTACAGAGAAGACAGAAACACCACAAACAATATATTACAAAGACAATTGCAACGAAAATAAAATTTAATGATCCGAAAGTACTGAATGTTTTTTTCAAAATATATTACAGTTAGTTTTGAAAAACGGAATGAGTACTTTGAAGCCAGAAATACAAATAATGCCTAAAACAAATCGTATAAAAAAAAATCCTTAACTGAGATAGACAATATATATATATATTACATTAAAACCCTGAAACAGCAATATAATATATATCTTGTAATCTTAAATACCGTATGTCTCATAGTGAACACAAATATGTAAATACTATAAACTTAAGTTAAAATATGTTATTATCAGTTAGTTATGAACGTTAATAGTTATATTGAATGTAACTAATAACTGTTACTAACAGTACTTATTAAATAGCAATATCTTGTAAATATAGATCATGCTATTAGGGACTGGTCATAATTTAGCAGGAGGGGTGGGGAGGTGGAAACAGTGGGGG